TAACAAACGGGTTTGTCAGTCAATGGGATCAAATGACTCCTATCCGTTGTTGGTGCAAAAGCAACAAAGTTTTTGGAGTAGTCCCGACTGCAGTCTTTTTAGACAGTTGCAATATTATTATTTATTTATGTAAGTTTGAAGCACATCAATAAATACGAATGCCTTTAAATAAAAGTTTATGTATTTTTAATAAAAGTCACGAAATACAAATTTAGGCAAATAACTGACAAAAGAAATATCGGAAGTTGAATATGAACAGTCCGTTTGCATTGGTCCACATAAACTAGTCGTCAGATCAAAATTATAAGTAGTCGACTACAGTTCCGGACCTAGGACATAAAGTACTTCATCTTTGCTGTACATTTTTTTTTTTTTTGAAGAAATATCTTTAATGTTAGTCCAAATGTTGATATGGAATCGAAGAGGGAGCGGTTCTCCTTAGTTAGCTAGTTAGTACACACACATTTATGCACACATGGTATTTACAACTTTAACTTTGGCATGGGGTTAGCAAAATTCCGGGTACTGGCTGCTACGTAGGGTTGTTGTTGTTGCTTTTCTCCAGTGATACATTTTGATATAACTAACTTATAATAAAATAATCACGAAGGCTGCTTGAAGATGTCAAGCAGACAATATCGACTAGAAGGAAATAACCAAAAGAGCAAAAGTAAATTAAAATAACACAAAAAAAAGCAAGCCAGACTACAGTAAAAGTATAACGACTATAATTTATTCTCCAACCCAGCAAGCAACATACAATAAATAAAAAAAAAATGCCGCTATATGCAAGAATGAAGTTCGTGCATACACCCACAAGTTATATAAATTTATTATATACAAACGGTGATTTTATCAGATTTTTTTATTTTTTTCCATTCTACTTTTAATTGCTGCGTCTTTTGCCATCGACAAGATAATTGCCCTACTTGCGCGCATTCAATTGATTTAGTGGTAGTCACGTGCCGTTTAAAACGCCGACCGACCGGCACAATCATAACATTACACATGTAACAATGTAAACAAAAGGGCAAGCAGATTTATAACAAAAAAAAACAAAAAAAGTACAACTACATACATGTGTACAACTGGTATGTCAAGTATGCATTACGTTACAAAAGTGCCGGTAATATTTTGAAGTGTCTAGGAATATTCCTTTACACAAACAATAATGGTTTCTTTTCAATATGTATATGAAAATGAAAATTTATACATTGTTTACTTCACAATGCACGTAGGTATAAATACATACATACATATATGAACATACATACATACATATGTACGTAGAAGAACAAGTGCATGTGTGCATTCAAAGATGTACCCTGTTTCCAGATAACCACATTCCCCAGTTTTGCCTCCAATTACAATGCAGATTTGTAAACATCTACCGATGATTATCAGCTGTGTTTTGTTTACAATATTTATTGCGTGCGATTTAAATTCTCCAATCTCGCATGGTTAGTGTTTAAGCGTTTCAAAAAGTAGAAAAAAAATGCGAAACAATGAAGGAAGAAAAAAATTATTCATCACCCGAACTCATTCATGGTCGATTCCACGTTATCGTCGGACCCAATTCAGCACTCCTTTAAAGATCAAATTGTTGCGGTGGCAACGTGCTGCTGCTTTAACAGTGGCTAAGTAGGAACGTAAAAAAAAAAATTATAAATTCGACTTTGAGCATAAATGAAGCAGGCAAATCTTTCAAAAAAAAAAAAACTTAACCAAACAATTATTTAATGCTAATTGCAAAAGTATCGGAATGACTCTTGGATTTAAATAATCAACAATAGCAGCATGGGGCATGGTGCGAGGGCGACAGGAAAAAGTATAAGCGCCTCTTTACATGTGCCCGACGACGGCGATAGTAGCACGTGAATGTGATGTGAATGTAAACAAAAACTTTAGCTATTCACACATAAATATCAATTAAGCAAATACATACTTTAAATGAACATACATATGTACTAATAAAAGTATTGCGGCATTTTGTTTTTTTTTTGTGGGTAGATGATTTGGCGTGGTGGTCCCTCCTCGTATGGTACCAAAAAAAAAAACAGATAGTGCGTCAAGGCCAAAGAAATAACGCTAAATGTGATGTCTATCGCTGATACTACCGAGACACATTTCTCAGATCAGGTGAAATTTACAATGGTATGTAGCCATTAAAATGCGTATGGAATAACTGTAAGCCAACAACGTTGTACGGTGGGCTTTTAAGCAAACATGAATGAATGCCAACCTATAAAATTAAATAGGCGAATACGAATCAAAAATTTGGGGAAAACTCAGACTTAGTTTTTGTGTTTGGGAAAAATACATATATGTACAAATTCACTACAATATGTATTCAAAATCATTCAATGCATGATAAAGTCCAAATTTTAATCAAAACTCCCATAGGTTGAATGGAAGAAAGAATAGGAAAATTAAAAATGTGGTTGGAATATTGACGACTTTGGTGAAGACAGCATGCAGTCGCGGGTACGCTGGCATAAAAAATTTTTAGGTCGCGTAAATGCAGCTTGAATAGTGTGCCTCAAAAGAAAACCTTAAAAAAAAGCATTAAAAATGAGAAATCATAAGTTCGAAGGACACAAAAAAGTGAAAAATGTAAAAAGATTTGCAAAGACAGGTTTAACGCACGCCTCTTTACATAAACCAACACTCTTGACTGCTGACTATACATAAATTAAACAAACAAACAAACAAAAAAAAGAGCAATGAAAACAACAATGGGCCGGTGATGAATACGCAGACAAATGAGGTGGCCGGCTGGCTGGCGGTTGGGTCGAGTTGAATCGAAGACAAACAAATAAGCAATCAGAAGAGGAGTCGCGAAGTCATGCAGCCGGACGGACGGATAGATGGCGGAACTGAGGTTGGAAAATATATCTACTACGTTTGCATGTTTGTTGGCGATGAAGTTGTTTGTCAAATGGTAATGAAGATGAGTTGATTGCTTGCTGTTTTTTTTTTTTTTTTTTTTTTTTTTTTGTTCACCAATAACAAAGACTTACGAAGAACGAAAAGAACTGAAAATAAAAATTATATGCAGTTGTGGGTACTTGGATAAAATTAAAAAATGGAATCGAGAAGCAAACAAGAAAGCGCAAAGAGCACTAATCATTTGCACTATAAAAACAAATATTAAAAATGCTCAGTAAGATAACAAAGGAAGAAAAAATAAAAAGCGCGCTTATGATAGCGACACTAGGTCATAATAAAAAAAAAACATGTATGTAAAACCAAATAACTAATCGAATGTTAGCATGAAAAGATTTACACAAACAATAGTTTTGTGGTTCAAATATGTAAGGCGGAAAAACACAAATCGGAAAAGAGGTACAACAAAATTTTAAGGCTATAAATATCAAAAAGAGGTAAAACTGCTTATATTTAAATGTACATAAGTATTAATTATGTTGAGGCCCGTTTTTATTTGAAGTTTTTTTATGACGGAGCAACAATAATGTTTATTGTCTTGAACAAAAATAATAGCAAGAAAAAAGTACGACAATTCGATGACATAGTATAGTACAAACTAGAAAACGAGTTAGCTAATTTCCTGAAAACGTTGTCAACAAAACAAAACTGACTTTCAAACGTTGATTGAGGTAAAGTAGCCTGGTTGTCTGACCTGGATTGATTGTTGATGTTGATGCCGGTTGGTTGATTCGTTATAGCCCGACCACAATGAAAACGACGAGCTACGGACCACAGCTGTCAAATTATTTTAACACCTACTCTTATGTAGATAATTAGTTATTATGGCGACGACCGGGCTACGCGACGACTGTGGTTGTGGCCAGATTAGATCTATTTCCATTTTTCTGGCGACAGATAAGGTTCTTTCTCTTCTTTTATTCTTTCATACAAATTCAGGATGTCGCTGCCGCATTCAAAAAAAAAATAATGTTGTCATCGACAAAGCGTTTAGATATGAAGATAACAAATTGGAAGTTGTGGCCCGTAGCCCGTCGGTTTTCAATGTGTTCAGAACTTTACGAGTTCGCAGCGCGACTAGACAAATTTGACAAGCGGCGGCTTGGGAACCAAGCGCGCACGCAGAAAAACTTTTTGCCGAATTCACAATTACAAATACATAAAAAACACATACAGTATTCCACGCTTAACTGACCCTCGATTAGTTTGTTTCCCAGCATAATTCGTTAAAAATATGTGCCATTGAAAAAATTGTATCCCTTCAATTACCCACTATGAAAATGAACAAACGAAGCGAATACAAAAATCTTACACATAACATATGAAAAATTTCAGTGGAATTGTTAGCGAATGAGCAACAACAATGCTAGTAAATGCCAACGAAAAAGGCAGTGGCGTAAAGATTTTAAAACTTTGTTAAAATACATACATATGTACGTACATATGTATATAAAATATAAATTAAAAAAGAAAAAAAAAACATGAAAATTTAATTTCGTAATGGTAATCAAGGGAAAAAATAATAAATGAAAGTGATGAAAATGAAAAAAAAATAAATAAAATGAAATCTACATCAGAAAAGAGAAGCACAAACCGAATTAAAACACTAAACGCTGAAGCAACGCTGAATAACCAAATCAAAGAAATCGTCAGCAATGAGTTGGTTAGCAGCAGTGACGTTTCAAATATGTACATATGTACATATATTTTATTTAATGGTGGGTTATATGGCACATTTGCCGAGGTAAATATATTCGGCAAACAGTCAGTTCAAAGTCAGCTGTCAAAGTCAAATTTTTTTATGTCAAAAGTCATGCTCGTTTATTTAACTATTTCAAAACGTTTTGCATAATAAAATAGTTTTTATGTACATAAGTATGAAGAAATAAATTTCCAAAATTTTGATTGTGTAAAAAAACGGCACGATTTTTATTGATTCCATCGGCAATTTGTGTTCAACGACTTGTGCCCGTTTTCTGATACCCTTGAAAACCAAATGACCTTGAGAAGATATTAAATCGCTTAAATGTACCTTACTTTGCTTAAACCGACTTATGTACATAGATCTGAAACGCTCCTTGCGAAATGGCGAGAAAACTATAAAAATAAGAACACGAAAAAAATTGTATGGACCTCTTTCAACAAAGCAGTAACCATCTATCCTAGAATAACTCTAAAGCATATCGATTCTTATTCCATTGCATTTTTTATTTTTTTTATTTTTAACATTTCTTTCTTTATGTTTTCGTTTCCCGATGAGCAATTTGAAAAATTTGTTACACTGTGCCAATGACGATAGCGAAAACAGTCGATAACAGAACGGCGCGAAATCCACGCGGTGAGAGACGTTACAACGAAGCGACGTGCGGTATGGTGAAATGAGCATTCGCAACGAGCACCTACACAAAATTAATGAGAAGAGTACCGTCGAGAAGACACGACCAGAATTTTGACGACATTATTCAAGCATAAAGATAATAAAGCAGCAAATTATAGTTAAACACTCGCGGTTAAGCATTACGAGTATGCAAATCAAGATATACAAAACTTGAGCAGACTTTATCGAATCACTTTTTCGAAAACATTAGCCGAAAGCGATGAATACGATGATTTCGGCACAAATCGACCGTTTTGAACGTTATATATACGCGTACACTATATATTATGACAAATCGAGCAAATATAGCGGCAGGCATACCGTTGATTTTGCCTGCTGCCACCACTGACACTAAAAAATATTTCAGTACCGCAGCGTATAGAGTGGCTGGCTTTTGTGGGCAAACAAGCAAGTGAGTGAGCAAGGCAGCGAGAGCGAGCGCTCGAGCGTGCGATGGATGGGCGAACGAACGACGGAGCGGCGATGCAAAGTACAAACGCGCGGACCCCGAACAAACAGCAAAGCGACAGCGCGACTTATAAAGGGTGTGGAGCGGCATTGGGGCGCTGCTAATTGACTATCGGCTCGCGATGCGCTGCGACTGGGACGGGTGGCGGGGGGAGTGGTGTAATTGCTTGCTGAGACGTTGGAAGTTCTGGGTTTGATGCAATACGAATTGAATGCTACAAATGCTCACAATCGGCGTGCTTAATGCGTCCGTTCAAATTGTTGTTGGCTAATATTATTTGTTGTTCCTTTTTCATACATACATATGTACGTTTGAGCAAGCGCACAGAGAATTGGAATTAATTTCGCCTACCGCACTTTACCTATCGTCTCAACGACTCGAACGATAACAAAACTAAAGCCAAAGTTTTCTTCAAAATACCAGCTAAAGTTTTGTAGCATTATTAAAAAAAAAAAAAACAAAAAAAAAACACTTTAAAATTCAAGTCTTCAAATGGTGCAAATCGCGCGAACGATCGATGAAAAAAATTAAAAGCAAACGCATTTTAAGTTGCGCATATTTAAACAAAATTATCGTAATTTTCGAAAGCAAAGCAAAAACGTTAAAAATAAATAACAAAAATGACCACAACACAAACAGAAAGAGTAAATAATCAACCGCATGGGGTCGTGGCTATTCATGGCATATCACAAAACAATGTAGAATAAATAGAAAAATTAAAACATGACGCACACAGCGCCTCGCGGTTGGGCTGAGATAGAAGGGGGCAAAAGGAAACACAATCTGAAAACACCGCACAGTCATAAATAAATACTTCTTACCCTCATAGAACTACATACATACATATGTATGTATGAATAAGTTAGTATAAAATATAAATTGTTAACCACTAAGAGGATTATAAAAAGCGAATGTGTTCAGGCAGCTACCGTAGCCGGGTGGTTAGAGATGCGTACTAGCACTCGGTAGGACGCAAATTCGATTCCTAACCCGAGCAGCATGGAAAATTGTCTAGAAGCAAACCATCGGGTTTGAGCAGAATCGAGCGGATGGTCAAAAAAACAATAGAGGCAGTTAGAGCAACTTAGTTCACAAATCTCATGAAACACTTTTCAGGCAGAAATTCTCAAAACGGTTGCTTGCTCTATGCTGCTCCAGTTCCACTTCGCGCAGGCTCATGAAACAAAAACTAGACTAAGTTAGAGCAAGAAAAATGTTCATGAAAGACAATCTTTTGAGATATCTTAACCTGACGTAACCTAGAGCAGCTCATTAAACACAACTAATAATTCATTCGATAATCGGGAGTTGATCCTCACGATATGGTGTGAAAAAAGAACGATTCGTCTGCAGAGGACTGCTTATAAAAATTAGTCCACCGGCAGTATTCTAGTCGGTTTAAACATAACCAAGACGATTGCAACCTAATCAACAACGTAAAGCAATACGAAGGTTCAAATAAGGGGAACACATGAAATAATTACAAAAATGATTGAAAACAAATGCGTAATTTTGCTCACTAAAACTTCAAGGTTGTCCGGTGTATACCTACCACTTTAGGTTCTGGTCAAAATTCTCCAACAATAACTATCCTGGTATTAAAAGTAAAATTCTAAGTGCGACGAAGTCTCATCCTTTGGGGATCCTCCATCGCTATACATCCACATTTTATTGCATTTCGGATCATTCTCTATTCGTCTATTAACCCTTACCGTCGGCTTCAAATGGTATTTTCCTATGATCTTGAGCCAAACGCATTGTGTCTTGTGCTACTTTGTATTCACCCATCAGATGATTGCAAATAAATCTCTAATCGTTATTCGCGACAAGCAAGCCCATCCGTCACATGAGATTACCAAAATGTTATCATCAGGGGGGCTGGCTTTCGGCAAATGCCACAGCCACCTGTTGAATCTTTCAGCAAAAATAAAACAAACAAAAAAAAAAAACGGTCAACACGCAATGAAGCATACTTTGGTGAGACTTTCATAGATGCCACTCCCACTTGCAAATTTTATTGCCCACTTGCATATCTCATGCCAACCAACCCAGTAAAAATGTCGACCACCACCACAACCAGCCTGCCACTTATCGCAGCGACGCCTGCAACCGAGCACACAAAACGCCAAAAAACACTCAGCAGCAATGGCGAATTCCCCCCCCCCCCCCGTCAGCCGTATTCACAAACACCAACCATAAAAAACTATAAATGACAAGTCGATTAGAAAATTTTCAAGCAATCTCAGGGAAAAAGTAAGCCAGCGGCGGCAGAGTACAATCGCTAATAAAATGAAAAAAAAAAACAAAAAATGGGTATCGAGTTAAAGGAAAATTAAGAACTCCAGCCAGTCAAGCTACTAGCAACGAATTCGATGAACGAACGAAGTGAAAGGAACGTCGTGTAGGAACATTCAAAAGGCTGACAACTCGAAATGAATTACGACGAGAAACAGCATTGGCAAGCGAATACTTCAAAACGAAAGATATAGCAAAGCAGAATAAGTGAAACGAATGTAAAATTCTAGAAATGTTCAAAATGTATTATCTGGCCACCTTTTGTGCCCTCGCTGATCCCCTGCTGCATGCATTCATAAGAACATATGTATGTATGTACATGCACTGGGTGTATATGCATGTGAGTGTATATGTAAGTTGTTGTATGTGTTGGCAAACTGCGAGATACGAGTATACTTTTAGTATCTGAAGAAATGAAATTAAATAAAATAAACCAAATGTTTTACGACGGCCTGCCAAGGGACGGGTACAAAGAAAGGACGGACGAAAATAACACTGTATACTATACATACAGTGAATAGAACACCAGAACACCAAGGAGCGAGCAAGCGAAGCAACTCAAGACTCAACTGTTGGCAGTTAAAAGTGGTGGAAGTAATGCTGGTGTGGTGTGGTGTGGTGTGGTTGTTTGACGTTACTAGGAGGGCGAGCATTCTAAATGTGCGATTACTTATGGTGCTGAAGAAAAAGAGCCACAATGAAAACAACAATCTCGAATAGCCATAGCCATAGTCGTCGTCGTCGTCGTCGTCGACGACGTGGTTGCCGCCGTTGACGATGACAAAGGCGTGTAGATAAGAAACAGAAGCGAACACAAAGCACACAGAGCACACAATCGTTGTGTACCTTCATGCATGTTGACTAAACGTAGAGCGCTGGCTGGCTCATGGTTCTTGGCTCTGGGCTGTGTCGTGGCACAGCACGGCACGAAACACGACGCAATCAAGGGAGCATAATAAAAATGCGGAGGCAAGACAGTGGTAGGTATTGCATTTAAGTATAGTGTGTGAAGTTGTGCGGCTTCAAAGCGATTTGACAGCGACGAACGACAGAACAAACAGACGGACGGCCGGATGGCCGGTCGGACGTGACCGACTGTCGCGGTAGAAGCTTTGAACGACAACATCGAAAACACAAACACCGGGGTTTGCTGGGTTGAGTTGCTCGGAAAGAAGCATTAAGTGAACAAACAGAATCGAAGTGACAGACTAGCAAAACAAAGGAGCGGATGGGCGGCGAAGAACAATATGCCACATAGACGGCGGCACAGTCCGACCGACGAAGAGAAGACACAACCAACAAGCAATAACGACGATGTGCTGCTTGGCTAGCACCAAAGCAAAGTATTTAGAGTCTCAACAAATATGTAGAGTCTCAGCCAGGGAAGCCAACTCGTGGGGAATTCCCCGATCACAAATCTTTCTAAAAAATCTAATTAAAAAGCTCGCAATTTTAACGAAAGTTTTTTGAATTTCTTTTTAATATTGCACACAGTTTGAAACTTGGATTTATACGGGTTTTGTTAAAGAATGAACTAAAAAAAAAAAAAATGAATAAAAAAAAATTGCGAAAACTTGTCAAGATACATACAATTTCATTTTTTTTTTCTTTTTTTTTTGAATAAGGAGATATCTATGTGTGGGGAATTTCACGAACTTTAGGGCAATTCTAAAAAATGAGTTGGCTACCCTGGTCTCAACTTTGATATACAAGCAACCAACTCTAACCAAGAACAAGCTGACTCCACAATAGCGCAAGCACAGAGAACATCGAACGAACAATGAAAGACACACACAAGGGAATGGTGCAGATGGGTTGGGTTGTTGGTGAGTTAGCTGGTGACTGTTTCGACAGCAACGATTCAACCAACAGCCACTTTAACGAAAAAAAATTTAATAAATTAAAACACAAACAAAAAATCCAAAGACAAGCAAACTTACGAAACAGAGTCATCGACGAACTAGAAGACGGCTACAACGACGGCGGCTATACCCAGGGAACGACGATGACTTAGCAACTACATTCAACCCAACACACAATACGAAGTCAAAGTCAGCAAAGCGGATTCGAAATTGTATTGAAAAATATCAAAAAAAACATACATACATACTACATACTTGGAAATATTGCTGAGCAAAGAGGAGCGCAAAGCAAAAAAAAAACAACGCTGTAGAAGCAAGCCAACGAATGAACAAACGAACCAAATAGAACCAGTGAGCACAGCACACACACAAACAAAACATCAGTAACGAGTAAAATAATAATACGACTTATAAGAAAGAAAAACACATTTTTTAAGCGATAGCAAACTCGGCAACAGAAACAGCAGAAATCCAGCGCGAAAACAACGGCCATAATAAAAACAAAAACAAGACTTAAATATGTACAATAAAAAATGAAGTTTTTTTTTTTTTAGACAAAACGCAGAGCTCAAAAGAGTTCTCAGTATAAGCGGGCGTATGACGGTGAATTAATGCGCTTGAAAATGGGGCGAGCAGCAGAGAACAAAAAAAATAAATAAAATAAAATAAAATAAGAAAAGAACAAAGTGACGGACTGGAGTACTGTGTGGGTTGTGAGACTTTGCAAATTTATGGAAGGGAAGCACCCTAGTGCTAGTGCCATGGACGTGGCTGGCTAAAACTTATGTAGGAATTGCAGCAACAAGAAAAGTTACTGTTTTCAGCAGCTGAAACTTACAAATATGTATCTTCACAAGGCTAGGCTAGAAGATAGACGCGGGGCGGGTGTACAATGCACATTGCTTTAGTTGTTACTTAGTAGTGCGGCTGCGGGAGAAAAGGATTCCATGCATATAAGCAGTGAAAGGGGGGCTGGCTGCTACTATTATCTTGAAAGCAGATCAGAAAGTAGCAAAGGGAGGACTGAAG